TAATTAGTAAAATACATAAATGGAATTGAATCGCATTTAATTAGTTTCTCAATTAACTAGATTTATGCCCGGCCTGTTGGCCGGGATGTGTTTCGTTAATTATTATATTATTAGATATTTTTGACAAAAGATAATCGTATATTTGATTTCAAAAATAGGTAATTACATCGTGAAATTAAGTCAGACCAGAAAATCAAAGAAATGACTTGTAGTCGGGTACAATAAAATGGTCTTTCTACCCATCAAATGGACTACCTTATTGTTCTGCCGGCCTAAAAATTGCACACTAAAACCATTTTGGCTTGTGAAATAATGCACGAATACTTAAAATAACCAACTCTCAATCATTTCATATTAATATGGCTAAGTCGTCTATGACAAAAAAAAGGCGGCTAAGTCGATTATAATGTATAATAATACACTTTTTTATGGTTGGATTAATAATAATTAATATATTAAAATTTATTATCTTATAATATACACTGTGAAATTTTTAGTGCATATAAAAATAGTGTCCTTTGAACAACGAATTTGACATTTTTAAAATTAATGAAAGTTTTCACAAATAGTATGATTATTTATGCATTTGAAATGGATGAGCTATATTTTAGCTATTTGATATTAATATTACAAAACTCAACGGAAAAGGATTTTGCTAATCAGAATCCCGTGGAACAAAAAGTCTATTAATGGAAAGATAACATGTACTTAATGGGAAAAAGAAAACATATAAAATATAGGGTTCAAAATTGGAGAAAGCCCAATTAACTGCTCACCGGACCATTTCAATTTATAGCCCAACAAAATTTCAAAATAATGAAGCCTTCCGAGAATTAAGGATGAAGCTCCAAAGCATACGTGGCATATACCCTAATCTAAAAGCGCTTTATAATATTTAAAAGAAAGATAAAGATTGGTTAATCTTTCCTTATTGATTACTAGCACCGGGCCCGGCCCTTTGGCCGGCTAGAGGCCCATTAATCCATCCATAAGGCATCCAGGCTCAATTGAATTAAAGGCCCAATTTTTTCCCCTTTACTTTTATAAATTGAGTAAAATTATTAAACTAAGAAATAGTAACCCAAAATCAAAAGACGAAAACGGTTCAGTTTCCTTCTTCTCTTCCATTCCTCTGTTCAGTCTCCGACGAAGACAGCAAAGGGCCACCAAATTCATTGCATGGACGCCGTTCCCTGTCTTCCTGTCTGCGTGAGCGACTGCATTCTCAGTTCCAGCGATTGATTTCCAAACCCTACCTCGCAACATCTTTTCTTTCAGTCTCTCAACAGCAGCGAAGTTTTTTCTAGCCTCTGATAATCCAGTCGACGGTGCCCAAAACGATTCCAGATTATGTGAAGGTATATGCATCTAGACAGGACTTCGAATACTATCATTGAACTTTGTTTTCTCCCGATCTACTAACATATTGGATTTCAGAAAGTGTTTCAGTTCGAGACTCCGACCAAAATCTTGCGAGCTCCACAGGTGCGTTTGTTTCCATGGTTTCTCATACAATGTGGTTGGATCTATTAAAATAAGGAACATGATTAGTTATGATTTATTCGATTGTAACACAACATTAATCCATAGTTGAGGAAGTATATTTCAATATTATTTTCTTGGATCTGATTACGTAGTGTGTGTTGCATACAACCAAACCATTGTATATTGTTTGTTTAATACGTAGTGGAGTTCAGTCATGGGTATAACAGCTTCCATTGAAGTTCCATAAAACAGTATATATTGTTATAGTTAAGAATCGATTATCCATGTAAGAATCAAAGATGAATAAGTCAGAAGCAGTAAAATCCAGGTCCAATTGAAAAATTCATCGAAGGATTGACAGAGTCATGTCTTGCTTTGCTATTGTTTTTTTATATTCTGTTTTACATGATTAGTTGATTAGTGTAAGAACTCTAACCTTTGTTGATATAATTGATCAGAGTCTATTTGGTATTGTTCAAATGAATACGAATTAGTTATTAATTCAACATTGGAAGTGTAATATACATTGTGGTCCCAAACAACAACTAACATTGTTTATTTTTATGATCCTAAAAAAGGCAGCTACTTCCAATAATAGAGATTGAGTAGAAGGAAATAAGTTTGACATATATTTGAAATATAATACCTGAATGGAACCGTAAGTAATTGCTTCCTAACCAACTCATAATAAACATATTCTTGTGTTCTCACCACTTCTCAATACAATTGCTAATATTGCTAATAATCTAAATTATAGGTTTTTTACCATGGGAGACGATTTCGTTACGAATCTAAACTATCAAACTGTCGTAGCAATTTGGGAGACCGTGGAAACTATAGATCTTATTCCAATGCAATTGAATGGTGATAATCAGGTGACTAAGATAACATGTTTGTTATCTATCCTTCTCTATCTCTTATCTCAATGATTTGCATCTGATTTGGTATTATTTTGAACTCCTTATGTTTTGGATATATCAGGGCAAGTCGTACATTTTCTCTGGCGTTGTAACAGAGTTGAGGAGATCTTGGTGTGAGGCATCCAGGGGATATTTGATTCACTTGACCATTGAAGATGACATTACTGATGTTGAGGTCGTGTTCCCATCAGCTTACTTACGGAGAATCATGTCTTCTGTTGTCAGTCCTTCTGAGCTTCAAAATGCAGACTATGTTACACTTCTCAACTTGATTAGTGAGAAGGCATATGAGGTCTTGGTCACATTCGGTCCTTGGAACAACGTGGAGAATTATTTTGATCTCTTCTTGGTAAAGTTGTTCCCGCCTTTAGATAACTAAGTAGTATTGGGTATTATTAATATGATCGGATTAATGTTAGTAAAGGTCCACCTCTCTGTAATCTCTAATGATCTGTAAGCGTAATGGATATGTGAACGCTACTATCTTTTGTAAGTTTATTATCCTTTTGAGGTGGTACTTGATGTAAAATATGAATTTAATTTAGTTATGGTACTTTGAACAAATTAGTCCTTTTTCATTTTTCCCTCTATTATTATTACAAAAGTATTTATTTAATTCCATTGAATTATTACAATGTAAGAATTACATAACAGTGCTACTATTAATGCATTCTAGTCCCAAATCTCTTTCATTAATTATATGAGATAATGTAGTGAGACTGCCAATTGGCAAACCAATTTAACACAAATCAAAAAACAGAAATGGATAATTCACAAAGGCAACAAATGGTATTTCATAAATGAAAAGAATACAAATTAACACTTAACCAAGTTCAAATAAATAGAACTTAGAAACATAGTCTGAAAGGTGCATTTCGTGTATTAGAACATCTAGCAAATGATATGTGTGGAACGAAAGCAACAAAAGAAAAAAGAATAATAAAAAATCAACCTACCATAAAAGCAGGAGGAAATCAAAACTAACTCCTACATGGAAAGTAGAAGACATTCAACCAAAAAAATGTTTTACTTGCCTTTAAAGAAATTTTTTATCTATTAATGGCTTACCATTAATTAAGATGGAAAGTAGAAGCCAAAAAAATGTGCTACCTTTGGGATTTGAACCTGTATCCAAGGAGTCATATTTCCACACTATTTCCGCTACGCCAAATGACATTCACTGGCTTTAATTTGGCGTAGTAATTATTTAATTTTTTAGTTTATACATAATATCTCAAACCATTATCGTGACTGTTGAGATTGGGGTCAAGGTTGTTGGATCCTTGAAGATTATAAATCTCGATCCATAATAACACTAAGGGATTTGGCGTCTTAGTATAGTTGGCGTGGTATAGTGGTCGACATAGGACGTATCCCCAGGCAAAATGGCCTCGCCTACTACTTGAGCATAATCATAATCTAATAAAATCTTATAGTTTTAGTTTAAATTAAACTAGCCAACTTGAATCTATGAAAGATGCGCTACAACGATACTTTTGTAGTCATCTCCCTAACCCTAATTGTCACAAAAATCGTGCAACAGATGATAAACATATCCAAGGTAGTTTAGGCAAGAGGGTTGATAATATGAAAATCAATGCAATGGATATGTCTTCCTACTCGAAGCAAGGTTAACTCAAATTTCACGAAGGCTGGTTTGGGATCCTAGATATGTAGTGTAATGCGAATTGGGGATCATTTGTCGCCCACATAAGTTGTTGAATAGAATTGAATTATTGTGTACGAAAGCAAGCATTGTGTTTTATGGTTGTTGTCATACTAACATTGATAGAGTTGTATGTCGTAGGGAGTGTGGTAGCCATACATTAAATTGACTGGGCTCCTTTTTATTTTCAAAATGCAAAATTCCGTTTATCTAATGAAGTTTGAGTTAATTGGTGTCCTTAGATGAGCTAACATGAACGAAAGTATGAGGTCCTAAATTCAAAGGATCATATTAAACCTTACATATCTGAAGAATTTTGTTGCCCTGTTTTTTCCCAACTGAGTCCTATGACCCCTCTCCTCAAGAGGTGGCTCAGCCACTGCCCGTAGGGTGTTTACGTATTCAACAATTGTAAAATGCAACATTTCAACGCTTAATTCTAACACAACGTGGTTAGTAATACAAGATTAATTTACGACATACAACATTTTCAACAGATCTTGGTATTCTCATTGTTTACAACGTGTTAAACTATAGGAAATTAAATTGATTAAAGAAACTCCCATTGTTTACATAGGGACCAACTAACCATCCCCCATTGGCCCATTTTCCCTCCCTGTTTTTTGTTTAAAAACGAGTTATGTTAGTAGGAAAAAAAAGGAAACAATGCATGTTGGCCATGTGTTCTCAAGCGCGGCCCATTCACAGCCCTTCTCTCCCACGCGGCACGCGCATTGGTTTTGGAAATCCAAACCCTAAATTCCATTTTCCCCCTCCGTTCTCCCCAATCCAGCTGCTCCCTCCTTTCCACCATAACCAAGATGAAACCCTAGTCGTCGCTCATTACACATTCCCCCTCCCATTGTTCTCAATCACTTCTGTTCTTTCGCCTTGAACCCAAAGGGCAAAAAAATCCTACCCACCTACCTCTTCATTCCTTCCTCTACTTGCCTCCAGGCTCTCGCTTCGTTGTGAGGGGTCTTCTTCTCTGGCTCGAAATGGGTGACGATTTGAAGATTGATGTCAGGGAGACAACTGCAAGGAGGAAGGTTCGTATTTTACTCAAATAGATTTTTGATCTTATTCTTGGTAGCTAATGAAGGCCTGACTCCAGTAGCCTAATCCCCTCGTTTTTTTTTTTTTTTTTTTTTTGGTTTCCGGGGTGCGTTGGGCTAGAGGCATGGTACTGTGAGAATGAAAACATGTAAACTTGTAAGGACAGCGCAGAAGATCATCAGATGGAGTTCGGTTTTTCATAATGTTCGTTCTGTAAACTTGTAAGTATATCTGGCTTCGTAGCTTGTTGACAAGGTTTGTATTAATTTGATTCCAAATCTCAGTTTTTCCCCCGTGTGTTAGCTAATAACTGAGTTTGGAGACTAGTTACCTAATCCAATCCATTTTATTGATCTTCTTTTATTTTTTATAAGGTTGTGTTGGCGGCAGTTCGGCGGCCAGTCCCAACATGTAGATGTGTCTACAAAGGGCGGAAAAGAACATCAGATGTAGTTGGAGTTTTCATAATAAATATCGTGGAACCATATTCCATCTGGTGGTTCTTTTCCGCCCACTTGACTCCTACATTTTGGAAGAAACTCGCAAAGGCTGTAGGAGATTTGAAAGATTTGAGGTTGGTTTCGTTCTATTGTTGTTTCGTCTGTTGTTTCTTTGTTGGTCCGAATCCCTCAACTGAGAAAATTCATTGCTTGCAGAGTTGTGAAGGCCACTGCTGGATTCTGGAGATAGTTTATGTACCTCTGGTTCTATCACAATTTTGATGGTATCATTTTATTTCCTTCCAGTTTCAAATGTTCATTTGAGAACACATGTATATGCGAAATATTTGGTTGAGGCTTGCGCAGATAATGTGATTGCTGTCATACGCTTTCTTGAGGGGTACTAGAGTAGATGATATAGTAATTCTGGAATGTATTGCAGCTATGTAGGAGTGCTTCATTCATAGGAATGCCCCATTACTATTTAGCTTGAATATGTACCATTGGAACTACGGTATCCTTTATTCCTGAACCCTTCAAGAAAGTGTATGATAGTAATATGTGGTATGCGGAAGTATTTCAACCTGGACCATATACTTTAACAAATTTTCATTTTTTATATGTTGCTTTATGAATATCATTTGTTTGATTTGTCGATTTTCTTTCATTATATGTGCACGTCGTTGCCATGGGGAGTGTGAAGGGAAGGATGGAATCTTACATGCGAGAAGAACATTATCCAGATGAGTACCCAAAGTAGGATTTGTATGCTTTGTTGTGGTCCCAAGCTTCCATCTGACTTTGTTTCCTGTATTGTGAATGACGCTATTTTTGGTGTGTCTATGCAGGAGTTAAACCCCTAAAGAATTATGTCAAGTGAGGCCAAAAGGAGGAATCGCTATTCTCTATGGGGTCAGACTAGTGAAGGAGAAAGAAATTGGCCCGATGTGGTAGAGTCAGTTGTAATTTTCATTGTAATGTTCTACCACAAAGGGTAGCTGACGTTGTAGCCTTTGAGGCAGTTGATTCTTGATTATAATGAATCATATCAGTGGTTTCTAAAAAAAATAATTACTCAGTGGGCACAGTTGTTGCCTTTTATGTACTGGGTTGTTCTGGTTAAATCCTCCCAAACAATAGAAGGAGATTCCCTGCCGGAACCATCTTATTTCATTTTTCCTGTGGGCAAAATAAAAAGGCATCAGAATTTGGAACTATATTACTGGAAGGAACTATAATACTGGAAGGAGGATAAAACTTGAGCATAAATAATTATTACTGCTCTTCGACTGGTATTAGTTAATTAGTACTTAACACTTTTTGTGCCACTCCAATTTCAAGGTTCATCCATCACAGAGGTTTGGAAAAAATTGTCAAACAGTAATTAATTAATTAATATTCATGTAATTAATCGGAATATCGTATTATTCAAATCGAGTAATATGGATCGGATAGCTAAATGAGTAAAAGCCACTCAGCCCATATATCCTATGTTTGGTCCGGTTTTTAGAAGTACTTTTCGGATTCAAAAGGTGAAGCAGGGTCAAATACCTCTAAAAGTTCGGTTAAAGCCAAACATTTTTTGTATAACATAAAAGCAGAAGCTCCGATTAGAGGTTTTGCGAAAAACTGTTTTGTAAACGAATTACAACCAAAATAAGATTCATTGTACACACTGAGTTTGAAAATGCATGTGATCGGATAAGACTAAAAAGTTAGATTATTTTATCATTACTTGGTTACCCACGTCGAAAATATAATAAGATATCAAATTAACCAAGAAACAATGTGTACCAAAAAAATACTAATTGGCTTTTGTATTAATTTGAATAAAGACATTAAATATTCTTTGTTTTTAGTGAATTTTCACTAATATTTTTATGAAACTGACGTGAATGTTCATTTCAATTGAACAAATCATCACGATAGTATTCATTATATTCGAAATAGAAAGTTAAGATAAATAAGCAAAATTACTAGCAAGAAGTATATTGATAAATTAAAATATTCATATTCTTTATTTTTTTAGTATATCTCTAAGATGAAATAATATTTTAATTTTTTCAATATTAAACTGTATACAACAAGTAAAATTGTTAAATATTCATTTCCATCCGGCCAACGGGCCGAACCTTAATCTAGTATAAGAAGAGAAAGTAGCATGCCGAAAGAAAATCAGACTGGTTCTCCTGTGTCCATTATTTTAGATTTGATTTTTAGTTTGATTAAGTTCGGTTCTTTGATTATGAATCGAATCGGATCATGCACAGCCTTGGAAGCATTTGTGGGTTGAAATGGATTAAAGATTGAGATTTGGGTGAGCAGAGTTCCTTCGAATGAGAAACAATGGTGATCTCTCACATGAGATGAGAGTCCGTACAAAAATCATTTTGAACAAGCAATAGGAGCATTCAACATCAAAAGATAAGATTCATTCCAACATAATCCCATAGAAAAGAAACACAATAGAAAGAGATGCATTGAGTGCAGGCCCGTACAACTAATATCATTTACTAGAAAAGCTAGTAGTGTTTTGAGAATTGAGAGCATAAAATTCAGACCTCTGAAGGAACAACCCATTTGCCGTTTAACCAGTCCTGATGTGTCTTCAAATCAGCCTGCTTGAACGTTATCTTCTCATCATACTCTTTAAAGTAAACCACGTAATTGCAGTTGATCAAAACCTTTGCAATCACGCCAACCCACCAACCCTCGTTGTAGTAAGCATCTACTTCATCCATCACCTTGAATCCATCCACAACAATGATCTCCGGCGGACAAGGCCTTATGTTGCAAGCACGAATGTCTTCTCTGAGAAACTCAGTATCATCATCATTCGTCAGGGTTTTGTACTCAATAAGGTACTCGTCTTCACCAGAAGGTTCAATAATTGTTGCAGCAAACCAAGCACCTTTGAAACCGTCCTCGTCAGTTGTCACCTCGACTTGCATTCCTTGAGTGAACTTCATCACCTAGATCCAGATTCAGAATTCCCTAAAATTGTCATACCAAGCAACGGAGCAGGAAAAGTCATAAAATCGAATTAGCTCACCTCTTTCTCCCGCTGAACCTGTTCGAATCGCGGCTCCCACTTCCCTTTAACCCACTGAAGAGGCAACCTCAAATCTTTCTCTTCAAACACAATCTGCTCCTTTGAGCCTCTGAGGAACACCGCAAATTTCCCGCCGGAGTGCTCCGCAGTAATAGCCCCTTCTCACCAGCCGTCGCTGTGGAAGGCCTCCACTTCGTCGCCGAACTTGAACTGGACCTTCTTCTTCTCGGGAGGCGGCGGCGGCGGACGCAATTGGATCCAATCGAGGGTTTCTTGCAGCAGCTTCTCCCCAGATTCGTCCTCGTAGAGCTGGTCGTACTCGACTACGTAGCGATTAGGGTCTTCGCCTCGCGGCGGATGACGGTGCCGGCGAACCAGGAGCCGCGGAACCCGGGGTCGTCGGAGCTGACCTCGACCCGGTCGCCCGGTTTGAATTGGGCGATCCACGAAGAAGATGGGTTTGACGTCGACATTTGCAGAATTGCAGGTGAAGACACGGATGGAAGCGGGGGGATTTTGAGAATTTTGGCGGATATGAGAATATGCTCTACATCAATTTGAACCACAAAGAGAAAGGGAATGGGTAAAACTCCTAAGAGCATTAATATATAGCGGTAGCAAAAATGAAAGATTTAACTCTTTAACAAAGAAATTGGTCACCTCGAGCTGCAGAAAAAAACAGCCAATCACGACCCCTTGGCGTCCGCACAGAACTGGAAAAGACAAGACTCTGTTCTACTAATCTTCTCAGCGAAGGATTGCCATACCCGATAAAGTACCTTGGTTCCCTCGCTACTTTATTGAGCAACTTTTTTTTTTACAGTAAAATTCATCCTTTATTCCACTTCAACTTGAGAACCAATTACTGTAAATAAAAAAACTCGAGAACCAATTACATTGATCAAAGGAAATCAGAAATTGAGCAACTGAATGGTACATGAATCCTCCCACTCACATGGCCTCAGATACACAAAGATCAAGGGTGAACCCAACATAAATCACAAGGGTTGCGTATGAACCCACAAAGATCAAGATGAGTACAGTTTACCCAACATTTTACCAAATTGTGTTGCAAAAAATAATCATTATAATATATAATTAATAAAATAATATATTAAAGAATTAAAAAGAGATGAACCCAAATTTCAACTAAACCCTGTAACAACATTGGGAAGGAGAAAAGATATGCCGTGATTTTAGTTGCACCAAATTTTATCTCTTATTTACTTAACAAATTAATAAGTTTCCTTCTCAAATTAAAACTCTAGCACATCCCTTTATATCCTAACAAACATATAGAGGTTCTCTTCCAAAACCCCTCCCATTCTATTTTTCCATGCTCAGCGCATAATACGGAAAGATCTCTCAGTCTTTTTACTATACTCAACTACATAAACACAGATCGTTCCATGAGGCGGACCAAGCCTATATTTTTGTTGGTCTTTGGGCTTCTTAAGATTGGACTGAGGTGAGATGGAGTGTGTGCTGACTACTGAGGACTGAGAAATAAGAAACAAAATAAAATAAGCTTGCGGCAACAAATGCCTACGGGAACTTTCTCCAGAACCTCCCCCATGCCACTTTTGTTCAACTCAATAATATAAGTACAGAATGTATTACTCTACTTATTTTCCAGCAATCTACTGTAGTTAGAAGTTAGTTTTATATGAATTTAAAAATACTTAATGACCAGTGGCAGTATGACTAATAATTGTGTAGTGCATAATAAGTGTATTCTTTCTACGGAATTTTTTTAAATGATTGAGTATTGTAGTGGTGAATTTTGTACCGTATCCATGTGAATTTTGTACCGTATCCATTCCCTTAATATGGTGCAGGTTACCGTACAAAACCATGATTTTGTAGTCCTACAAAATCTAATCCAATGGTTGTAATTTGGAAAGGAAAGATCTAATGGTCCATATCATAGAACAGTAAAGAGGGAAATAAGGGATTTATGGGGAGCTGACCATATTTTTTTAAATGAATTTGAACCATTAGGTGTGATTAAAATGTATATTTATCAATGATGTGAAAACCAGGCCGGACCGGCCGGTTAGCCCAAAAAAACCGGACCCGGACATTGATCCGGTTCCGGAAGCATAAAAACGGCAGAAAGTAGCGGTTTGCGTTTAGTCCATTTTTTTGTTTACTTTTTCAATGGAAAAGAAAAACCGCCGCCTATTTAATGCTTCCTTCAATTAAAAAGTTCAAAAAAAGTAACTAAATCAACGGAAAAAAGAAATTGGCTACATAATAAATTTGAAAAAGGAAAAGAAATCATCACATTCTCTTTCTACTGCCTAGCTGCAACTTATGTTTCCAATTTTAATTTTGAGATATTATCATAAACTGAGAAAAAAATAAACAATAATCAATTTTGACTTGACAACACTGATAGTTATAGATATGTTGTTTTAGTGGTGGGTTTTGTATCTTATCCATTTTGTTATTATCAAAGGATACAATCATACAAAGTAAAACGATCCTATACTTTTATGACTATTGATATATACTAGGAATTATATGTGAATGTTGCATGTTCATGCATGATTATGCATGTGGGAAGCAAGAAAATGAAAGAAAGAGGAAGAAGTGGAGGTTGGAAGCTTTTGTGTATGGGAGGTGGAATGTTTCTGTATGCATGTATGGGAAGAAGAAAGAAAGAAAAAGAATGTGAAAGAATAAAGAGGAAATAGGGAGAGAGTGTATGTTTGTCATCTTCCCTTTTGCATGGGGAAGGATGAAATAAGAAATAGAAAAATCAAATAAAAGAAAGAAGGAAGGAAAGGAAGGAGTGATACGTGGGAAGGGAAAGGAAAGTAAAAGACAGAATTAATGGTTAAGGAAAGTAACAGGAAAGAAAGAAACAATAACAAGAGTTGGAGAGCAAAAACAACATAGGAGATTGATGATTTTAACGGTATAATACTAGTTTTCGGGTGTTTCAGTACCGCAATAATTAAGAATCTATCGAGTGTTTTAACGAACGACGAGGTGTCTAATATTTAAAAAATTTATCGATTAAGAACTGGGTCTATCAGTTTGATTTGTGTCGTTAGTGTTGATGGGGATGTAGAACCACGTGGTTTGCCAACCAACACTTTAAGCATTATCATTGCTGCACCAAGAATGATGACATAGATGGTTACATTACAATAGCAGTGCATGGAATGTACGGGGGATGGTGGATTTTCAGGGTTAGCTAATTGTGGAAGTTGCAATGAAGAAATAGTTTTGTGTTAGACAAATCATTTTTGGGTTTCCTGAGGCATCAACTGGCCATTACCAGCGACTATTTTACTAATGGTTGCACTAGAGTTTGGCATTACCAACTATTTTGTGAATGGTTGTCGAAACTTGGTTATAAGCAACCATTTTTCTATGGTTGCCAAGAAAATGGTAGCTGAAACTCTTTTTTCTTGTAGTGCAAGCATGTAATTATTTGTGACAACTAGACATCGAAAAGTGTATTTGTGTCAGAAATATTACCACAATTGACATTATTTGTGACAAATATACATGTCACTATGAACGTCTTTTTTATAGGTGCCTCCTGCTTTTGGCGTAGATGGTATGCTCTAAATAAAATAAAAATAATACGTTACCTCCCAGACAACCTGAGTGCAATGGGTGGATGGCTACAATCAAACACATATCAAAATAAAATTAGAAATAAAATAAATTGATTTACCTAGTGTCTTTCTACAAAGCCATGTATATAAGTATGTGGAAGATGGGGAAATGTTATTGTGATGGCAATAATCAAAATTGCCTGCTCCACATCTCTTCTCACAGGGCACGTGTAGTAGTGTAGGTAGTGATGAATTGAGATTCTTTTTGTGGCCAACTCTCTTGCTAAAATCCAACTAATTGAGAGTAAATAACACACCCATCCACCTTGCCTTTTGTATGTGGAGGCATGGGAAAGTGATCTTTTTAATTCATGTGTATGTGGTAAATGGTGGGCGGTAGAATTTTCACCTCATTTTTGCCTAAGGCCACGTTGGTGTTGACACATCCATCTTTCTCCACCTCTTATCCAAGTTAAAAGGGTTGGATAAGTTTGATGATTGGTGGTTTGAGTGAGGAATAGTACAGGTAAGGGTTCCATTACCATCCATCAACTAATTGCTCTTAATAATTCGTACACATGGAAAATGGCAGGTGATGATGTGTTAATACATCATTTGGTTGGAGGTAAGCAAATAGAAATCGCCATCCACATGGGTTTAGCTTTAAGAAACCATTCCATGGATGTAATTTGGTTTGATGGGGTTATTTTGGAGGGGAGAGCACCCAAACCCAATGTTTTAACCAATAGTAGATACCAACACCATTAACTTACACATATATATGATTTTATCATTATTCTCCTTGTGATCACCTAAAAATGGTTTGTGACGGTTGTGTGATGTTGGTTGAATATTGGGTCTATCAGTTATATACGAAATTAATTTCATATTTTAATATTGAAACTATGATAAATTTTATTTGTGGTGAATTGAAAAAAGTAATAACCATCCATTCTCTAATTTTTCATTACAAAAATGAGTAAGAAAAAGTGTACATGGTAGCGGCAAAATGCAACGTAAAAAGAAAATTCAAAATTGTTAAAATTTGGCTTTTACCTTCTCAGAATAGCGCTTTTTTTCGCCAAAAATTTGCGTGTCTTTTGAATTCGTCCCCCAGAAACGTTTCCTTCATTCTGACCCCCCATTCTCATTCTATCTTGCATGTCGTCAATCTGAGAGAGAGAGAGAGAGAGAGAGAGAGGGGGGGGGAGGGAGAGAGAGAGAGAGAGAGGCGATGGCGGTTCCGCGTTTCTGCCGACGAGAAGAGAGAGAGAGAGTTGACGATTCCAATCATTCCATCGACTGGCGACGGCGGTTCCGCATAGCTGCCGATGAGTTGCTCGGTTGATGAAACCTGGTGGATTTGGGGATGTTCCTATCGGTTGTGTTAGGCGAGGATGCTCCAACTGTAAGATAAAGAGTTAGTGAAATCTCGCGTTTCCTTCTCCTTTTCCTTCCCCGAATTTTTGGTTTTCGTTTTCAGTTCTTTGATTTCCTCTTCTTCTTTTTTTTGGTAGAAATTGATTTCCTCTTTGTTTGGCACGAGATGCATACAAAACAAATTTGGATTGGTAAGAGCGGCAGCTATGGTCTCATTCCCTCGGATTAAAAAGGCCCCCTAAGGAACGATTGCAGGTAGTTGCTATGCAAGTTTTCATTTCGTTTCTTTGAGTTCCTATAAAAATCAGGACATGACTGGACTCCCCAATTACCGAGTCCAAACTTTGGGTTTCTGAACTCGTTTCTTTTATTTCGTTTTGTTTTCATGTTGATTTGAGGCTTGCGAATCGGGGGAGGAGGAGG